TGATGAGATCATGTAGCTAAACCACAACAAGCACCACATCACTTATGTCAGCAACCTGAACACCATCAAGGATCAGTACTGGCCAAGGGTGATGGCACAACTCAAGTAACTCTTGCAGTCGGCACCCAAGTTCAGTGGTAAGCATCATACCATTTTCTGGACAAACTTGAGTCACTATGATGGTAGAGAACTCAAAGGAGAATTGCTAGAAGCCATCAAATGGAATTTTGGATCATTTGGCAAGTTAAAGGAGAAGTTGGTAGCTGTGTCTGTGGGCGTTAAGAGTGCAGGTTGGGGCTGGCTTGGTTTCAACAAAGAGAAAGAACACTTATAGATTGCTGCTTACTCTAATCAGGAACCCAATGCAAGGAACAAGTCGTATTCCACTGCCGGGGACTTATGTGTGGGCTCATGTATACTACCTTCTGCATAAAAATACCAGACCTGATTACTTAAAAGCTATTTGGAATGTAATGTGAATTTATCTGAAAGATATATTGTAGTTGTTGTTGTTAAGTGCCACTCATGGCGACCCTATGAATATACATATCTTGCAAAAAAAATACAGCATTATTATGTTGAGCAAGTTAAGCCCTTTAAGACTATTTCTGTAGTAAAATATTGCAATATATTAATAAACTGCTTGTGGTGTTAACCTAACAGTTGGCTTTTTTTAGCCATTAATTACCTCCTCTGGTCCCAAGTTACCTTAACTGCAGATGCATGATCTTGCAAATCAGCATGGTCTTGCTAATAATCAACAGCTGATGCAGCAATATAAAGAGAGCACTCTCCACAATGTTGTTGTTGTTGTTGTTGTAATGTGCCGTCGAGTCGCCTGCGACTCATAGCGACCCTATGTACAACAGCCCTAAACTCCGCTCTGCCCTGTGCCAATCGCACTGTCTCCGACACTCCCATCCCAATTATCCCAGTCACTGAATCAATCCACCTCATAGAGGGTCTTCCTCTCCTGCGCTGTCCCTCCACCCTCCCAAGCATGATGTCCCTCTCCAAGGACCAGTCTCTCCTCACAACATGTCCAAAGTATGTTAGACAGAGCCTCAGAATTCTTGCCTCCAAGGAGCCACCCGGTTTAACCCTCTCCAGGACAAATCTGTTTGTTTTCCTAGCAGTCCATGGCATTCTCAATACTCTTCTCCAGCACCACAGCTCAAAGGCATCAATTCTCCTTCTATCCTCCTTGGTCATTGTCCAACTCTCTGATGCATAACAGGTGATTGTGAAGACCATGGCCTGTATCAGACGCACCTTAGTCTCCAAAGAGACACTATTGCTCTTCAGCACTTTGGAGAGGTCCCTAACAGCAGACTTTCCCATTGCAATGCGCCTTTTAATTTCCTGGCTGCTGGTGCCAAGACTTGACTATGGAGCCAAACAAACTAAAGCTGTGTACAATCTCAATCTCTTCACCATCCATCCTGATGCTGCCAATTGGTCCAATGGTGAGAATCTTTGTCTTCTTGACATTGAGCCTCAATCCATATTGCAGGCTGCAGTCCTTGACACTCTGCAGCAGGCGCTTCATGACTCTTCAGTTTCAGCAAGCAGGGTTGTGTCATCCGCATAACGCAGATTGTTGATAAATCGTCCACCAATCTTGACCCCACATTTCTCCTCATAGAGCCCAGCCTCCTGGATAATCTGTTCTGAATATAAGTTGAAAAGGTATGGAGATAGGATGCATCCCTGGCGTACGCCCTTCCCAATTTTGAACCATGCAGTGTTCCCTTGCTCTGTTCTGACGACTGCCTCCTGGTCCAAGTGTAAATTTCGCATTAGAACGATCAAGTGTTCTGGGATTCCCATTCTTCTCAGAGTCAGCCACAGTTTGTTATGATCTACACAGTCAAATGCCTTTGCATAGTCAATGAAACACAGATAGACATTCCTCTGGTATTCCCTGCTTTCAGCCAAGATCCATCTAACATCAGCTACAATATCTCTAGTACCACGACCCCTTGAAAACATCAACACAGGAGCTGCAGTATGACTGTTTAAGCTTCCTGCTGCATCCACCCTGGCCCATTGCTCACCAGTTTCTAATAAAACACCACCACCAAACCGGCCTGCATATCTAAAGCCACATGAGTCATTCCCCTGAGAGCTCTGAGCCCCTAGATTCCCATCTAGAAATTCTTCTTCGAATCCACAGGAATTGGAGGAATTGGAGAACTTAACCAGAGATGGAGTGGTTAATAGGAAATACAGACTTATACAACTGGTTAAGCATTTAGGAATATGCTGGCCTGAGGCTTCTCATAAAGAGTCTATTAATCTTAGCAGGACAAATTATAAAAACGCTACTTTACTGTGAAAAAAATAGGATACAATCATTAAATTAAAAGACATTTTAATGAACTAAGAAAAATGAAATTTTATTTCCTGTAAAGACATGTAAAAGAAAATATAACTGAGAAAGACACATTTATTTACAAGTATGGACCAACCAAGAGAACACTGTCACAGTATGTCAAAAGTGGAATTTATGATTTTTAGTCATAATATTTTCCATAATCAATGATAGTGGAAGGAAATAAGATTGCTATTTATTATCCAGAAAGCTGAGAAATTATCTATTGATTTTCTTTTACAATAATTGTTGAAAAGAGCTACTTCTGCATCATAAAATAAAAAATCCTATATATCATTTCTTTAACATTCTGGGTTTTTAAAAACTAAATGTCAAAATACAAGCTATCCCAGAGTTACATAAAAGGCAGCAAGCCAGTGAGCAAGAGTCTAGTACTGGATCTGCGGGCATGGCTCATTTTCCTTCCTTCTTTCTTTCCTCTTTCGTTTACAGCCAAAAAAAGCAAGCTAAAATAATCCTTTTACTTCATAACTACTGCTTAGCTTTCCCTGTAATTCACAAAAAGCTTTTCTCAAAAATAATTTCATCAGTCTGAAAAGGTAAAAAAATGTAAATTATAGTATATAATACAATTAAACAACAGAACAAGAGTCCTACATAGCTTGATAAGGACCTAAATTAAAAGCTCAACAAAAGGGGTTTACATGGTCTTATAGGGCACAATCCAGTCAGCTTTCTGCAGTTTATATTTTACTTCACATTATGGTAAATAGTGTCTGGAATCTTAAAAGCTGACAAGCAAAAACCTAAGGTACCTATGTTTGTCTCAATTTTTCTGAAAACAAAAATGGAAGAAAAGTGAATCATAAAGGCCTAATCCTCTACCTGAAACACTGCCTCCTCTGTCTTGAGACCAGAAGAATTAAACATTGCCTAGTTACTGATGCAAACATTCTAATAAGGAACAAGAATCAGGAGAAAAAGGGAGAAAAATGTGGAAAAACCGTCAAATTCTTAAAGAATACAGACTTACTAGATGTCCTGAGTCTGGAGGAGACCTCAAGAGTACATACCTGAATTTCTCTCCAGACTCTGAACCGAAACTATTCCCTAAAGTCAGTAATAGTCTAAAGAATAAAGACTACTACCCTTAACTATTGTACTTCTTTATAAGCCCAAAGGGTCAACAGTTACTGTAAAGTACAGAGAAAGTTGCGGACAAGGGGATTTAGTAATGTCCTTGCAGAGAAAGCAGAAAAACTTGACTAGAAATAATGAGATGTCACTAAAATGTGAAGAACATAACCAGTGTCACTGATTATTATGTAGGAAATTGTGAAATGCAAGTGGGTTTTTTCTATGTATATTTTCAGAAAAAGTAAAAATGTTTTAAAAACTCTTAGAATGCATCACTAACAAAATTGTCTACATAACAAGTTGATTACTTCTTAGTGACTCTAGTCAAAGAATAGCATTATAACCAGATTTATATGTCCAAGATACTGGTGGCAATGACATTTCATGACAGAGAAAATGAGATATAATAACCAATGATAAAATGATTAAATAAATCTTACTAATTTCAAAGGGTGTGATACAACCAATCGAAATTTTAAAAAATGTTCATAATATAACGTCAGAGTAAAAAGTGGAAACATTTAAATCTACTCATATGGACTACAATGAAAGGTGAAAATATTGATAGAAATTCTTTCTGAATTAAGAATGACAGTTAATATTACATATATTTTTTATTTTCTATAATCAGAATATAAGTAAATACTTTTAAGACAGAAAAATTTAAGTCTAGGACATACGATCCAAATAGGATTTACAAAAACCTCTGCAAAATTAATTGTTTAAGATTCTACATGCAATTATAAATGTAGGCAATTTTCAAAACAAATCTATTATGAAAGTATTTGACTTAATAAAATATACAATCAAGACATAATAAAGTTTCATTATAAAGTTTACTTGGTCAATATTCTTTGTTCTATAATTTATCTTACCTAGGTGGCAACAAACCAAAAAATAAACAACAAAATATCTACTTCATTCTACTGTGCTGTGGCATAATAGGGACAAAAATTGCACTTCAAAATATTACTCAGAAATAACTTTTTTTAAAAAAGAAGAGTAGGAGCTTGAGAGCTATGAACATGTTTAAAATCTGTTTTGTTCAGATTTATGATGTTTAATGTCAACCTAAAAATGTTCTATAAAAGATTCTATAAAGCAGAAAAATCTTTTAAACTTTTAAATGGTTTTCACTTTATTTGTTCTCAGTACTTCTAGTCCTTAATAATTTATTGTATGAGTATGTAGAAGTATGTGTATACATAAATACATTCCTGTAGAATGTAGACAGCAATTTTAGCTTTTATAAGCACTGCAGGCAATAGAGCAACAGAGAAAAGATTGAGTTTTAGCATTATCTTACATCTTACATTGCTGTTTTAAGATTATTCACTGAATTAAATTCATTTTCTCAATTTTTAGTTTAAGACCTACTATATTAGTATATGAGTCTGCATTTACCTAAAAGAAAACATCAACATACTAATCTTTGTGTTTTCAATATACTTAAGGAAATACAAAAGGCAAATGATTTCTATTTAAAACCAAAATAAAACTCGTTATTTCTCCAATTTTTCATAATTACCTTTTCTGAATCCATCTTTCCTTTGATAAATTCCTGCTTCCAAAATTGCAATGCCTGTTCCAGTGTTAAACCAATGCCCTTCAGGAACAGGCCATACTGCATCCGGCCTCCATGACGAAGATGATGATTTTCGCGCAAGGCTTTATGTAACTGACGCATGCAGGGTGGAAAAGATTTTGTAGCTAGCTGCAAGAAAAGGTTTTAAGTTATGTGGACAATGTACCAGATCCTTATAATACTTGCCATGATTGTAAATATGGTATAAATGGAATAGAAATAATACCACACAGCAGTAATACTCTTTTAACATGATTTTAGATTGTTGTTGTTACATGCCATCAAGTCACCTACAACTAACAGCGACCGTGTACACAACGGCCCTAAACCTGCTCTATCCTGTGCCAATCTTATTCTCCAAACCAACTACCCCCATTACCCCAGTTACTGAATCAAGCCACCTCATCCAGGGTCTTCCTCTCTTGTGATTATAGATTACATTTTAAATATTTTATATTGATTACATATTGAAGTGACAATATTTCTATCATTCAAGGTTAAGTGAAATATATGAAAATTTGTATCTATTTCTTCCTTTTCACCTTAATCTTTTTCTCTTTGAGACAATTATCAATCACATGTAACAGTAAAAAACAATATAGTAAGATATTGTTTACTCAGTTTACTCCAGAAGTATTTTCTGACATTAGCAGTCAAACTTGGAGAAATCTCTGAATATTTTATGTATGTGGAAGGCCAAATCAACTATAATTACTAGTGACTGGATTCAAGAAGTAAAAGAAATAAAACAGTCATGAGGGGGTTTGGTATGCAAAATCTGCATGCTTAAAATCAAGATTTTAGAGACGTATTGATTGGATTTGAAAGGGTGTAGAGTTGGAAAGAGTCTTTCCAATCACTTGCCAGGAATCTGAGAGCTGGACAGTGAGTAAGGATGACAGAAGGATTGATGCCTTTGAGCTGTGGTGTTGGAGAAAACACTGCACATCCCATGAGCTGCCAAAAGAACAAACAAATATGTCCTGGAGAGGGTGCAGCCGAGTGCTCTTTGGAGGCAAGAATGATGAGGCTTCGCCTCACACACTTTGGGTGTGTTGCTAGGAGGGGCTATTCTTTGAAGAAGGACATGGTGTTGGGAAGGGTGGAGGGTTGGCAAAGGAGAGGAAGACCCTGAACCAGTTGGAATGACACCGTGACTGCTACAACGGTCTCTTGTGTTTCAGGGAGTGTGAGTATGCCGTAGGGCAGAAGAGAGTTCAGATTTTTTGTTCATAGGGTCACTATGAGCCATACTCAACTCAACAGCACCTATCAACAATAGAGTTGGCTGAAATAAGATGAAAAAATGACTGTGGAAATTGAGCAAAGGAAGTATCGGGTTAGAGTATGAGATTATTAGCACGGATGTTGTAGACTTCAAGTGGTGTGGTAACAGTACTGTTACTTACGTTCATAAAAGAATAAGAGGAGTTGGGAAAGGAGAGAGAGTATGGAAAAAAAAGTGTCTGTCTACCTGAAGACAGTCACAGGGAAAATAATGTTGTAGAAAGACTTAGATTTCAGTTAGATGAAAAATCTAAAGGAACAATTGGGACTGAAAGTATTATCATAAATTATTGCTGTCAAGTTGGAACCAACTCAGTGGATTTTTGCAGGTTCTAAATAACACAGGAGACTGCCCCATCTTTCTCCCTTTTCCGTGGCTGGGGGATTTGAACAGTCAGGCACATACATGGCCTTTTGGCTGTAACACAGAATATTCCACAAGGGCTTCCTATTGAGGGATATGCAAATAATAAGCTGTGTGAAACGAGAAGAAAAATCTGCATTTTCCCCACCAACAAAAGCCACGATATAAAAAGGGAATTGATGCGCTTACCGAGTCAATCTGATCTAAAGAAATCTTGCCAGTATTTCTATGTGCACTGTAATCTTGACCAGTGTAGGAATGACTGTAAAAAATAACAAAATATTTAAACAATGTTTGTTTTTTTAAAAAAGCACACTTTTTTAAATACTTCATAAGCATTTCTAAAAATTCTTATGAAGATTAAAGTCAGAATGAAAAAAATATGTTACATAGGCACATATGTTGAAAGCATTCAATATAAAAGTAACTTTCCTCAAAATAATCTGAAAATATAGTAACATTGTTTGGACCTCCTGATAAAAATTGTGGTGCTCTTTCCAGTTATTAAAAACATAATCCAAATTGTTGTTAAAGTTTAAACTATTTGTTTACCCAGAATAGCAATGAAGAAATTAAAATTCAACCAAGAATCATCTTGAATAGTGGTTGGTCCTTATACAAATTACTTACTCTCAATCCTAGAAAGAGCTGTCTAATAAAGATATCAATGTCTGTCTTACAGGGCTGATGAGAGGCCTAAATTAAAAGAACTTTTATAAAGTGTCTAGCATATAGTAATCATTGTTAAAATAAATAACATCTGACTCAAAATCTCAAACTCCTTCCCACTGAATTGGAAATGCCTCAGACCTGACCCTCCTGGGTCTCAGATGCTGTGAAAACACAGGGGAGGACACTGTCCACCTTTTCCCCCATGGAGCCATTCAGAGAGGCCCCACTTCTGGGTTAGCAGTGCAATTCTCTAAAATCTAGGCCACCAGGGCTTCTACATATCTGACCATTGTCCAAACCCACACCAAACCTTCCAGAAGGTTTTCACAGGCAGTAAAATCACACAGGAGTCGCAGTCCAATATTACTGTGTTTATAGAGTCCTCATTTATATCCTTAGATTGTTCCAACAACCCAGCGAAATTAGCCGACTTTTGGCAGATGAGGAAATGGAGGCTAAGGAGTGAGACTAGACCAGGAAGTCAGGCAGCAGTGCGATGAGGCCTCAAATCTTTTGATTACCAGTGTCTTGTTCCTTTATGATATCACTTGATCCCCTTCCCTATAGCAAATTCTGCTATATTGTTATATATAAACAGGAAACATAACTTGGCATCTAAAATCATCTATTTTTATAATTTTTTTCAGCTTCTTGACATAATACTTAGCTAAACCCAATTCCATAAAGGCTGATTCAGATGCAGATATTCAGGTGTGAGACAGCAAGAAAAATAACTGCTAGATTATACATAAAACTACAGTCAAATCATGGTTTATGCAGACCATAATGGGAAAGTGTAGAGTGAAGGATCATTACAGTCCTAAGGAATTTCAGAGTCTATCTACTGCTGAGCACACGTTCTTGCTGCTGAATAATAAAAAATACACATATTTAAGATGCTCTGTTGAGAAACTGTTGTTGCCACAGCTAACTTACCAATTAAACAAGGGATATGCACTATGTGGGATCACTATCAGTCACAGGCGACTCAATGGCACATAACAACAATAATGCATTATGAGGGAGTCTCGGGCCTAATGGTCAGAAGCTGCATTGCAATTCCAAAGGCGTGCAGTTCAAATTCACGAGATGCTCTGTAGGAAAAAGGATGGGCACTGTCCTCCCAAGTGAATCATTGTCTCTGAAACACCAATGGAGGGTCAGCTGTGGTTCAGTTCTGACTCAATGGCAAACAACAACAACATGCATTATGAATCAAGACTATAAAAATATAAATCCATTAACAACCATTCAGGCACAGACCAGCTACAGAAATATCAGAAACTCTTAAGCTTTGTGGTTTTGTTTCTTGTTTGCTAGTCTGTTTTATTGTGAGGAAAAGCTGTGCTCCTTTTGTTTATTATCCTGCACCTCCAAAAGTTTCAGAAAGTGCTCTGATAAGGAAGTTGATAGGGAGTTACATGACTAACCCAAAGGCCACATCTCTCAAGCTGTTAAATTCTGACAACACCTCCTTGAGCAATATACTGCCTTCAAAGCCCAATGTAGGACCAACTATGAAAGGATTCCAACCCAACAGTGATGAGAGCATAGTTTTTAAAACAGCAAACCTAACTTGTTTCAGCACTGTTAGAGAGGTGCATTGAATAGAGCAAAATACCAGGGGCAGGCTGGGGTCAGAAACCGAAAATCAATTTGGGTTGGGAGCCTACAACCAGCTTCTTCACTGCTCCCTTTCTCTTCATTGGACTCCAGGAACAACTCCAGCACCAGCTGCTTCCCTCAGGTTTTAATATGGTATTCACACAATGTCCAAATTCCACTGGATCCTATTTCACAAAATGCATCATCCAGAAAAGACTTGAAGAGTACATTGACAGAGAACTACTAGAAATACAAGCTGGGTTTAGAAAAAGTCATAGCACTAGGGAAATTGTTGCCAATGTCAGATGAATCCTGGCAGGAAGCAGAGAATACCAGAAAAATATCTACCTGTGTTGCATTGACTAGGCAAAGGCACTTGACTGTGTGGATCACAACAAACTGTGGCTAACCTTGAGGAAAATGGGAATCTCAGAACTCTTGATCATGCTTATACGAAATCTGTACTTGGACAAAGAAGCAGTTCTAGAACAGAGAGCAAGGAAATACTGCTTGGTTCAAAATCAGAAAGACGTGCATCAAGGATGCATCCTTGCCCCATATCTTTTCAGTCCATATGCAGAAGAGATCACTGGAGAAGCAGGGCTTTATGAGGAGGAGTATGGAATCAAGATTGGACAAATATTCATCAACAATCTATGATACGCAGATGACACAGCCTTGTTAGCTGAAAAAGAGGAAGATCTGAAGTACTTGCTGCAAAGGGTCAAGGACTGTAGTCTTCAATATGAACTCAATATCAAGAAGACAAGGATTCACACCAGTGGACCAATTGGCAACACCATAATAAATGGAGAAGCAATTGAGGTTGTTAGCAATTACAGATTACTCAGATCCACAATCAACACTCACAACACCAGCAATTAGGAAATCAAAAGATTAATTGCATTGGAAAAATCTGCTGTCATGGACCTCTCCAGAGTGCTGAAGAGCAATGATGCCAGTCTAGAGACTAAAGTGCACCTAATCCAGTCCATGGTCTTCTCAATTACTTGTTATGCTTCAGAGAACCAGACAACGACTAAGGATGACGGAAGAAGAATAGATGCCTTCCAGCTGTGGTGTTGGAGACGAGTCTTGAACATACCATGGACTGCCAAGAAAACAAATAGGTCTGTCTTGGAGACGGTAAAACCAAGTCTCTCCTTGGAGGCTAGGATTCTGAAGCTCCGTCTCACTTACTTTGGGCATGTGGCCAAGAGAGATCAGTCCTCGGAGAAGGACATCATGCTCGGAAGGGTGGATGGACAGCGTAGGAGAGGGAGACCCCGGATGAGATGGATTGATACGGTGACTGGGGCAATGGGGGTTGGTGTATCAGAATTACGGAGACTGGCCCAGGACAGGGAGGGTTCAGAGCTGCTATACACAGGGTCGCTGTACATCACAGGTGATTCAATGGCCCCTAAAAGCAATAATATACGAAAACAGGTTTGGAAGCAAAAGTGACATCCACTTCCTAAATAACATGCCTCTGGAAACTCTATGAACATTTAAAATGTTGATGGTTGCAGAAGGGGCTTCCAGGCCTTTTGCTCACATGGTTGCTCATGTGGTGCTCGACTGGAAGGCAATCAACAACAACAACATTATGGACATTTGAGAAACACTATCTGTAGTAATGTCTTAGAAGAGATGAGAATGTTATACTTACTGGCTTAGCAACTTTTTTTACTTACAGAGTTTATATACAACGTTTTTCACACAGATGTTTCCCTTTTCCTTTACCCACCCCTCCTCCACCCATCAACTTTTACATTTAAAACTGTAGACTCTCTCAATCCCCAAAAAATGCTTCTTCCTCCCCAACCCAGTAGATGATAAAAATCAGAAGATTGCTCTCAGAAAAGAATAAGCAGAATGTCAAGGTGTGATGCAAATCATCCCACAGTTTAAAACACATTTGTTTGTCTCCTATTATTCTCCCTCAAGCAATAATTTTCTGCCAATTAATGCATAATTTGATGCGGTCCATCCCATTAATCTTATTAGTACCATACACACAAAACACAAGCTTAGTTAACATTTTAAATTTTAGTATAAAGCTTAGCCAGAAAATTATGTCCGTAGAACCCTAAGACAAAAGTACTTTTAACTTTCTGATATGGCTTCTCGTGAAACAGAAAGGGCCAAACAATACAAAGAGCAGCGAGGAGCTGGAAGAAGTGCTCTGTTTTGTTTTGTTTTTCTAATCAGTACTTCTACAAACTGCAGAAAGACACTTAACCTTTCTGATCTGTACTACCCTTGTCTATGAAATAATGATAGCCTAATAATGCTAGATCTGCCTAACGAACTGAAATACTGATGAAAGAAAATGATATATTGAAAGTAAGTGTGAGGTAAAACCAGTAAAGTGTTCCAGCACACAGAGCAACTGCAGACTGACCAAACCCCAAAACAAATCCCCTGCTCCATTGTCAATTCAGACTCCAGGCAAATGTCCATACAGTTTCTGAGGTTGTAAATCATTAAGGAAGAAGACTGCTCCTTCTCTCTCCATCAGAGTGACTGGTGGATTTGAACTGCTGATATTCCAGTTAGCAGCCAACAGCCCAACATGTACTGCATTATGCTACCAGGGACCCTTGCAGTCTCTCCAGTAAGTATAACAATATCAGAAGAAGTAGCATGAGCCTCTACAGTGAAGCCATCACCCACCCAACTAAGATGAACCCACCCTTACACTGACTCAGACAAGCCTCTGTCTCTAAGTTCATAAACTGAGGGGAGGTATCTAGTATGATTGTTCAGATCAAAGAGATAAACAGAAATTCCTCTATCATCAGTAAAATTATGTTAAAGCATGATTATGATTACTGGATAAGGTAAGCCAAATGATTAATATACCCCAAGGAAGTTGGTTTCTGCTCAGATTAATGCTCTATACCCATAACTGTGAAACATCAATAGAAACTAAAAAATCAAGGTAAAAGGAGACAAAGCAAATAATGCAGTCACAAAAAA